TAACGCAATAACGTTATTAGCTTAATATTTCAAGAGTTAAACACGTCTGGGTAAATGTACATAACTTTAACTTTGGCCTAATTCAATTAAAATAAATTTTAAACGATAGAAAAAATCACTAATGAATTAATCAACAAACAATTCATCGGTCGCTTATAGTTTTCGAAAAAATAAATATTTTCAAACTTTGTTATTTTCACTAAGAAAGTCCGCTATTTCGTCGTTCATTTTGTTGTTGTCAACATGTTAACATTTAATAAAGCTTCATTAACTACTAAAGAAACTTTTTTTAAATACACACAAATATACACACAGAATAATATTTAATATAAAAATAAATATAAAATTATACATAAAATATCACTACTACGAATAAGCGCACACGTATTATCCGACATTGCAAATACGAATAACTACTATCCTATTGATGTATTCTAACAACTATTCTATTCTATTCTATTTAATGGCCGATAAAAATGGGTACTAAATTAACCGATAATTAATTTTGCATTCATTTGACCTGCTTACTCATCTTTCAACTAGTAGGTAACAGTAATAGTTCGGGGTCCAGGTTCAGGTCCAGTTCCCTGTACATAAGATCCAAGTCTAATACAAAGCCCCAAATCTAAAAAAAAAATTATGCTTTATTACATTGTTCAATTGTTTACATTACTTTTTGTCACGTATAACAAATTACTCATGGTTATAAATTACGCTGACTCAGATGTTTTAGTGTTCTTTTTAAATTAAAACCTTTATATTACGTTTAGAATGGCGTCCATATAATAAAGCCAACAAACTTTTTATGGTGCGGTAAACGTGACTTAATTACGTTTCGTGACATTTGAATTTAAATAATAGTTTTCAATGTCAACAGCAAAATTTGACAATTAAAAAAAAGATTAAGATAATAAAGTTGGTCAACTATTCACGAAATGTTAAGAAAAAGTTTCCTGATATGTTTAAATATAATAATTATGTACGTTATTTCATCCAATGTAGGTATGTATGTTTGTATGACGTCTCTGAAATAGGTAGTAAACCGATTCTGACTTTTTTGTTAATTTATGCAAAAGTACATTATTCTTGAGTGACACAAGCTATTTTAGATTTATTTTAAATAATAAAATTTTTCAACTTACCAACCTTTAGTTGGAAATTTCTTTTTTTAATTTGTATGATATTTTTATTCGAGTAGAAACATAATTTTATGTAATTTTGATTTTTGTTCTCGTGCCAAACCCTGGCTGGACAACAAAAAGGGTACATGGTAAAATATAATAATATAAATAACATTACATGCTATGGTTTCTAAAAGAATCTGTATTTTGATTACAAGAAAATCTTTTGCAGCGAAAATTGTAAAACTTTTTGATAGACTTCAACGCTAAACAGCATTTTTAAAATTTACGTCTGCATTGGAATTAAAAATATTCCGTTATTTAAAGGTTTCTACGGGCCGTGTAGAAACAAAGAACGATCGAAATTTATTTATGTTCCATTCGTAAAACAAAAATAATAAAGCGGAATAGTTATTTCGCTTATGCGTAATCGAAGTACCGGCATGACGTAAATGTCGGCGCAAACTTCTCGGAGTGCGTTATGTTTACAACGGTGAAAGTGGTTGGACCGGTGACCGGTCTTTAGTTTTTGTCACAGCATATTTAAAACAGTGGGTTCATTCACCTCATTTAATTGTTTTGTTTAAAACGAACTGTTTAGTACTTGACATCCATTGAATTGAATAATTTTATTCCCCTATATCCCTTCCGTCATTGGAGAAATAGAATCAGCGGGACTCCACCCTTTGTTATTGACATTCCTCGCTTTCGAACGAACTAGCAACAGTTGCCAGCGACAGTTTCCATCCGATTATAATGCGTGTATAGTGTTTTCAAGGCAAGAGTGAATAGACTGTTACTGAGCTACTCTGTTTAGCAACTAAGACAACTTTTCTTTCTAATTAGGTAACATCAGATGGATAAAAATTAACAAAATTCCTTGTAACCATAGAAGGTATTAGTGATAGAACAATAATAATTCTATTTTGTTTCTGTACGTATTATGTTATTTTATTATTATTTATTTTATTATCTTTAAACGACAGCAAATCATTTCGTGGTTCATGTGCCAGCATACATTGTATTTTCATACCCGTACCTACCTACTTAAGTTCCATTGATAGGTTTACTTTCTTTTGGGTTTTCATTATATTTTTTTTCCTTTTCGATTTCTAGATAGTTTCCAGTTCCTAGTTATTTGGCAACAGACTTCACATCAACTCATAATGTATTTCTAACTATACCTAATTTACCATAATATCAGTCTCATTAAGAAGTGCAATCTTGGTTTTTACTGTAGTCTTCGTATGTTGGTGAAATTTCGAACATACTTTATTAATTACCATGAATTATATTTTATCTCAGTCTAACTCAGTCAACCATGAATTTTTATTACTTGCTACTTGACAACAGACATAATTTTTTTGTAAATGACGGTATGAACGTAAACAATGAATGTTATATTTGTATTCGTAATGTGTATATAGTTTTTGTTTTTATCCTTACTTTTACTAATATTATAAAGGCGAAAGTTTATATGTATGGATGGATGTTTGTTACTCTTTCACGCAAATACTACTGAATGATTTTTAATGAAAATTTACAATAATATAGTTTCATACATTTTTTTATGGATATCTGTCTCTATAAGATATAAGTGGAAAATTTTTAAAGAATTGCATGCTTAGCTGTTTTAATGACATGAACATAATATAAAAATAATATATATATATATATATATATATATATATATATATATATATATATATATATATATATATATATATTGTTACGTATTATGCGTAGATCAATGTCGCAAAATTATGATTACGTGATTTTGTGAGTTTAATGTTTCAGAAATAATTTCATTATAATACTAATCATGATTCTGTTTCATCTGTAGGGCAAAAAAATGTCTCTTTGTTTCTATTGTTACAAGATTTTTTATTTTTTTGTACCCATCATAGTAAAAAAATATTTTAAATGAAAACGTTTAGTTTATATATTGGGCACTGTCTTTTTCTTATGGGGTTCCTTTATTATTTTGCGATTACGTCTTTCTGTAAACAAAAGATCTTAACTTTATATACATATTTTCATTCTATTTATTTTTTTTATGTAAAAAGTTGAGTCGAGTGAGAAGGCGGTTCACCAGATGTTAAGTGATTATCATCGGCCATGAACATCTGCAACATCTGAGTGATTGTAGATTCGTTGTCAACTTTTTAAAAAGTGAGCCCTGGTTGCCTCACTATCAGACGATACGCGAAAGTATTTACGCCTGTATGTACGCCTGCCCATTCGTACAACAGCAAAACCTGCTGCGTGGCTCTACCAGAGTAGATGAATTTTATGCGAAAAGTTGGCAAGCTTGCAGGCCGTTCGCCTTATGTGCCCCTTTAAGTGATTAACGCCCCCTATGGACATCTACAACATCTGACGGGTTACAGAGGCGTTGCCAACTTTAAAAAAAGTAAAAGGTTAATTTGTTATTCGGACCAAATATTGGCGCTTATTATCGTCCAATTAAATTGAATGTGTCGTCTCAGTTGGACGCTTTCGGGTAGCGATCCCGACACGGACAGTGGATTTGTTTTGCGCAAGAGTTGGTAGAAATAAACACATGCAGTGTCTTACGAAAGACTCACACGTCATGGGCCACCTCGGATTAACAAGTGTTGCTAGAAATACAAATAAATTAATCAGGTTTAGGTCATGAGTCACACAGTAGCTATGAAGACTTAAAAATAACAATATAGTTTCTGAAAACAAATATCTTATTTATAATTATAAAGTCTTTTGAATGTAACTAATTCAGTTTTAGTATGAAAATCTAGTGGAATAAGATTACGCGAATATATAGTGAAATCACTTTTCTAGTTTTTATGATGTTCGACCGATCTAAATGTACTTACTTAATTATTTAGGTAATGGAATTTTTTTATGTTAAAATGTATATTACCTTATATTTATAGTGTCGTCAATATGTCTAAGTGCAAAGTTTGACCTTGGTTCAATGTTATAAGCCTTTATTTTTAAAAGACGTTAAAGCAATATAAATAGCAAGCGTTGCTGGGTAAAAGCTGTTGCGTTTAACTCATTTCAAAACAGTGCGCCGACTATGCTTATAGAAACAAAATGAATGATGAATTCAATTCATAAATAAAAACTGATTAGTCTTAACACGCTAAAAGAAAAAATGATTTTCGATAGAAATAATCGTACGGATACTACAATCTGGACTTTCTTTACCTTTAGGTTTTAAACAATAACATTTTACATAATTTACTCATTTCTTCTTAGTTGTTTTGTGGCAAGCGTCCAGAAAAACATTTGTAGTTTTGTTGCATACCATAAGAATGTGACAATATTCATTATTTCTCGTCTTTGGAGATTAAATTGATATTATTTTATTGTATCCGAGGACTATAAATACTTTCAATTTTTTTAATGAGAATAAAATTGAGTTAAAAAGGCTAACTTTATTTCTAAAGAAATTATTATATTTTATGTACCTATCTTCATAGTGGTTTGTTGCGTTATTCATTTGTTTGTGTACGTGTAGTTTCCCGCAAAATAAAAGGTAAAATGGCAATCTCATGAACATGTGAAAACAAGTGTAGGTGTAGTTTGTTTTCTATAAAGCATGGGGAAACTCAATAAGCAATCGCTGACTGGCAATATCCCATTTAAATAAATAAGTAACCGGTTCTTAGAAATATATTCGATTTGGTGGATTTGGTTCATTCAAAAAAATTTTTTTGAATGAACTCGTTTTAAAATAAATCGGATCTTTCATTTACGATTTTACATTAGTAAAATACTGACTTTTTCTTATATCCTCGCTTTGTTATTTATTATAATTATGTATTCAATTAAGAGCTACTCTGGAACTTTGTAGGATTATACAGAATATTATAAGAATACAACTTGTTACAGGTACCGGCACATTCGGTCGCGTATGCTTGTGTCGGGATAAGGCTGCGGATGAATACTTGGCGATGAAGATCCTTTCAATGGCCGACGTGATTCGCCTTAAACAAGTTGATCACGTCATGAATGAGAAAAACATACTGGCCGAAATAAATCATCCCTTTATAGTGAATTTGTGAGTATAACTACACCTTCCTATTCTTGAGTTTTATAGTACTAATGACCAAGTCAATATCGTCAGTAGCATGTGTGTACTCTTGATTTTAAAAGATTTCAGTTGGTTAGCAGCGTAGAAAACGGTATAACTTAATTTTGGTAGATTCAAACGACTGTTTGTTGTCGTAAAGGTGAGTTCAATCAAAGGCGCAGTTGCATGTGTCGCGCGTCAGTTGTCGTTGGCGTAGGCGCGAAGCCAATAACGCATCGTGTTTACAAAACTTGTTACGTCTTCCAACATTTGATTGGTAATAATAACCGAAGTATTTATAGCGCCCCTGCGTGCATACTTGACAGGCTCGGTGCAAAAGCTTAAGTTTTGCAAGCGTTTTCACAACAAATGGTACATTAAATACTTCAACCGCTATTTTATGTTATGGGACCGGGAAACACTAATTTGTATGTTTATTTTACTTTCTGTCAGTGATTGAGACTAGTGTGTCAAAAAAATATACACTGTCGCGTGTCGCTGACAGCAGTCTGGCAACCGTCACGGCTTTGTAGAGCAGACAGTTGTGTATTGGCAAAATACAGTAATTATTTACAATGATTTATTACTAACACTCTATGTAACGTATATGGAAGTCCTTAGCCCATAGAAGAATACCAATGACTTTTATGTTTTATTGTACTTATCACTACTGGGATAACAGTATACTTTTATTTGCGCAATTTTTTACTCTGTGTGTTTTCATACCACTGTCGTTAATAAATTACAGTACCCAACTTTAAAATAAAATAATTAGTATTTATGTTTTTATATATCTATAATTCCACTCAATAAGTTTTCCTTTGAAGTCGAGTTTTCCCGCCTGTGACGCTAACAGATCTTGTTCATGCCACACAACTTCACATGTTTCACGCAAAAGAAAATGTCATCAAGACCATAAATAACAATTCGTTAAAACAATATATTCTTCGTGAATAAACATGTTATTGAGAGCCATGACTATGAAGATAATGAACTATGATAATTTAGATGTATGTAGAAAAATGTTAAGTAGTAATTTTCATTGCAGGCGATGGTGGACCCACGACGACTCTTGCCTCTACATGTTGTTCGAATACGTATGCGGCGGTGAGCTATTCTCTTATTTGAGAAACGCTGGGAGGTTCAGCAACAACATAGGTGATTATTGCTGCCTTTCTTTTTTTCAAAGACAGTTGCCGACCGTTGTGCCTTATCGACTCGTTGTCCCGAAACCATTTTGCTTCTCGAATCGGAATGAAGGGGAAAATTATTAAAAGTGTTAAAACAATGAGATACCTATATAAAATGTAACCACAGTGAGATTATTTTGAGATATGTAGACCCCAGTGCTAATTTCCTGATTTCCTTAGTTCTCTTTAAGCACTATAATAAACATAAACTGGTTCCACTTCTATTTTGCGTTGGTACCATCGGCGTACGTTAAATTCAGGTCGAGATACTTCAGGCGACCTATTTTACTTGTATCTGTCTATTAAAAGATGAAGCCAAATGTTTATATGCTAAACTTTTCATGTATTTAATGACTGTATCAATTTTCTGTTCAGTAGAAATAATTTTTATTGTTTTATTATATTTTGATAATAAAACAGTAAAAGTTTGAAACGTTACACACAGCTACACTTTCAAATACGTTAGTATCTGATATTTTATAAAATCCTTATAAATAAATCACGCGCATGTCTAATTCTCCGCGCACAGTGATTTATTTTGCCACATCATAGTTTTTAGTCCGTGCCAAGTTCAGCGCGATTTGTCCAGCGAACACTTTATTCTAGTAACGTTAGGTTACATGCATTTGGCTCCGCTCGCAGGCCCGCGTGTTTTCTCTTCAAATAATTGTTAGAGCATTTTTAAAATTGGAACTTCGGGTCTATTGTTTCTAATCTACAATAGAATCGAAAAATAACGTAGGTAATGGATTTAGCATATTTCGTTTGTAAATCAATGAGATATTAACTTGTCTAGTGATCTTATATGAGCAGGTGAGGTGAATAAAAAAAGGATTTTTTGGGATTTTGTAGTAATTTTACGTAACGAGTATGAATATCATTATGATTTAGGTAAATTATTATAGTACACTATGTAGTTTTGTTAACACAATCTTGTCAAGCCATTGGATAATATTTTACTATTAAATTTACTATTAATTTATTATTAATTATTATTTACTATTAATTATTAATTTTACTATTTCATTGAAAAAAACAAGGCAAATATTGCGGTTTGCGCACGGAAGCTTTATTCAAATCGAAGTAGTTCACAGTGATTTACATAAGCGATCGTTATTAATCCGTACGTAAACTTGCTTGAGTCAGTATTTCTGGAGAAAGGACATGGAGTGGACGGAAATAGACGGTGAGTGACGCGGGTGGCGGCAATCTACTGCTTTCGGTATACAAAAATTATCGCCGATATTGAGCTTTTTTTATCTGTGTGGGGTCATGAATTTTTATTTCTTGTGCTATTTGCGTTGCTGCCTTTCTAAAGATGTTATGGAACCCTTTGAAACAGTCTTGAAAGCTTATTGTCCGGGTGTTCGCTTTAAGAGTTCAAAGCCCGGTGGCAGCTTCAATGAAATTGTAATTTTCAGTGCCGAATTATCACGTGCTCTACAGTGAATATCGTGAGGAAACCTGCATACGTTCGAAATAATAATAAAAAATATATAAGTCCGCCAATCCGCAGTGGGGTCGCGTGGTAGACTATGCCCTAATACCTTTTGTACACAGGAGGCCTTAGCCCTAGCAGTGAAACAAACATAGACTGTAACTTTAAAATTTATTTTTTTAATCTCACTGTTAGTGATGTTATTCACGTACGTCAGGTGATCCGCTTCCTTGTTCTTGTTTTTTTCATTTAAAAATTAAACGGGTATATTATAACGGCTCCAGATTTAAAACTGTGCTCGTCTTAGCCAGACAACGTGACGCCTCTAGCGGCGTTCCATGGTCACCGCCATTTTTCAGTCATTACCTACTAGACTCGACTCTCAGCCTGTTTTACGGCGATTTGAATTCCCGTCGACTGTTAAGCGGGTTTATGGATTTTTTTACGGATATTTTTATTTCTTACAACTACCCATTGTTTGTTACAATGTTCGCAATGCGAGTTAAGGTCACATGGTCGTACGAATGTACGAATTTTTATCGGTTCTTTCAACCAGTCGCTTGAAGTGTACCAAAAGCAATATTTCAAGATGTGAAGTGTAGTAAATTACAACGTACGCTGATTTTAACTTCAACGTCATTATATTCATTGTTCATAATATTGTTAACTTTATTATTATGCATTAGTTGGATTTAAGTGTTATTAAGATAATTATTCGATGTGATTAGTTAATTTTCATGTCTCTTTCAAAGGAAAATGACTGCCGCCCTGGCGATTAAAATATATGTATCCGCTGACTACTTTTCTTCTAAAACATACGTCACTGACATCTACGATGCCGCAGCCGGAGCGAGATGACGCACAAGTTTGGAAAATGAAACTGGGATTAAATGAAAATAATCCTATTTTTATCCCGCCTTCTTAAAAGCCAAAGTAATGTGAAATAAAATAGTGAAAATTCTTAAGCTATATAAATAATATCTATGGCTTTACGTTCTCTATTCTTATATGGATTGAACATTAAAATAAATGATCATATTTGCGCCTGCAATTTCGTATGTACCAAATCGTAAAGAAGTCAATTGACTTAATTACTTCCCTTTAAAACAATACTATTTTGCATTTAAAAACAACATTTTATTTACAATTGTTTTGGTAATTAAGTTATTTAAACTTTTATAAATCGTTATATCTTTGTCCATAGATTATAGATTAATAATGTAATTTTAGCGCTGTGAAACTTCATAGTAAGCATCCAATATAGACAATGCAAAAATAAAAGCACGTTCTATGTACAATTATAGTGATTAATATTCATACATTACTGATCAGCTCATGACTAATTAGGTTATTACACCGCGTCGGTTGTATCCAGGGGATCTTATTGTCGTTGAATCATTACGTTAAAAATCTCCACGTGTAATAAATAATATTGAATGTGTAACATAATAGTTGCATATGTTGGTGAAGTATCGTATGGCATATATACATTGCTTTTAAAATCATTTCTGTATGAGTGCATTTCATTTACTTGAGTGTCACAGAATGCGATTTATTTTCCAACCATTTTTGTTTTTTTTTTTATGAAATAATATAATTATACGGTCATGGCTGTTTCAAATAAAAGTCAAATGCCATTATAATTTGTTTTTAATTTCTGTCAACTTATGCTTATGTTATTCCATCGTTAATATTGATTAATGAATAATCAAAGATTCTTCTTGCACCTCATTCGCTCTCATTTTAATTTAATTGTTTTTATTGTATTACATCTTAATTTTCATGGTGTATTAGTGATCATCGTAGAAAATTGAGTAGATTTTTGTTATTAATAACATAAAGTATAAATTTTACGAAAATAATTAAAATTTTTAAATGTAGATTTGTGACGCCAATTTGACATCTCATTTTTTCATAATTTTAGTGTAGCTGGAATTCTGCGTTACCAATTGTAAGTATTTAAAACATTTAATTAGTTCTAATATCTATATAATGGATACTGAACCGCCTGACCCTGGAGGTGGCAACAATATTGTTTCTTCGGATACATCGGATCCTTCAACAAAATCAATATCATTGTCAAGAAAACGTACCCAGGAGTATTCGTCTTATGTACAGTCCTCTAAAAAGATCATTACTGACCCATCCCAATCCACTCCGTCTATCCAATTATCTTATGTCCATCCTGATTTCATTACACAACAAAGACTAAATACTCTGATGAGCACCCTGGTCCTTTCATTGTTCTCATCAATAAAACTGTTAATGACCATTCTGCTGGCACCTCATTGAAACCCATACAGTTTGGCTAATTTCTATTTCGTAACAAAATTCAAAACATTCTTAATAATGGTGTTAAAAAAGTCGAAAGAAACAGAATTTCTGTTCAATTCAAATCAGCCAGGGATGCTAATACTTTTTGTGAACATCCCTCTTTCTCCCTAGCTAACTATGTAAACTATAATCCCTTCATACAATATTACTCGGATGGGTATTATAAGAGAGATTCCAGTGGATTGGAGTATGGAAGATCTAGTGAATGCTTTAGAGGTTCCCTCTGATTTTGGCACTGTTATTAAGGCTCGTAGATTGAATAGAAGGATTACTATAGATAATAAAAATTCTTGGCTCCCTTCACAAACTGTGGTTCTTACATTTAGAGGACAAAAACTGCCCTCACATGTATATTGCTTCTATAATTCTATTCCTGTTGAAACATATATTTGACCATCTATCCAATGCTACAAGTGCTGTAGATTTGGCCATTTCACGTCACAGTGTAGATCATACCCCCGACGCTTCAAATGTGCGCAAAATCAGGAAGGTGTTACATGTTCCAAAGAAAACCTTTCATGCCTTTTTTGTCTTGGTCCTCATTCCGCTAAAAATACTTCCTGTCCTGAACATCTTAGGCAGAAATCGATAAAAATGGTTATGTCGCAAGATAACATCTCTTATTTAGAAGCTTCAGCTAGATTCCCTCAAGTGAGGAGATCTTTTGCTGATGCTGCCAGACTAACTTCATCTGTCATTATAGAAAAGGAACCCACATCTTCGAATAATATCCAGAGTTCTTATAAAAAAACAGTTTCCATTCCCCGACGTCCTCATTCCCAACCCAATAAATTTGGATTTGACAAACATGCCCATAATTCTATTATAGGAACTCCTTCATCAGTTCTTCCAGATTGGTGTGCTCTTAGAGAAAAAAAAGATATTTCTTCAAATGAGAATCTTTTGGACTTACTATTATCTACACTTATAAATATAATCTCCCGTTATAATGATACTGAGCTTCCAATTAATTTAAAATCTAAACTTACTGAGCTTCTCTCCTTATCGGTTAACATTCCCAACCCTCCTTCAATGGAACTGTAGGAGTATTAAGCATAAAAAAAAATGAACTTTTGTTTTTAATCCACCAGTACAATCCAGCCATTTTTGCTGTCCAGGAGATGTGGCTACAACCTGGGGCACATTTTAGAGTCCCAGGATACTCATGTCTCCGTGAAGACAGAATTGATGGTCAT